GAATGAAATACTCAGGGTGGGCCTTGGTTAAGACCTCAAACAAATAAATCTGGCCATCTTCACTCAAGCCCCTTGTTGCCATATCTACTTTGGCAAGGGATAAAACTCAAGAAATAACAAAAACCACTATAGAGAGGCTGATACCAAAATGGTGAAACATAGCACCGCAGCATTAAACCTCAAATACAAAATATATATAGCAAAGAAATAACGAAAACAGTTTTATATAAAACAAAACATATTGTACACCTTTCTGCCTGTGAGAATCAAGGGTCGGGCAACAAAATAATGTGCAGATAAACAATAATTTGCGGGTGGGAATTGATTCTCACCTCGAGAGGATTCGTATGATCACGATTATACTTCAGGTAAGTACCTTTCCATAATCATTAATTATACTTCATCCTCTCTCGGCTCGAATCAATTGGCGACTTTGAAGCAACCCACTAAGGACTGCCTCGGCTACCAAAGAGGTAGCAGTAGGTCTATGATAAAAACGACTGAATGTTGTATCTGATGCCCATCCTGCAGCCTCTAAAATATTCTTCTTGAGACCCCAATCCTGTGAGAACAGGATGCTGCAGCTCCTCGTATCGAATGAGCCTTGAACTGTCTGGTGTCTACACCTGCTAAACCCAGCATCTCAACCATCCAACGGCTGATTGTGGTTGACACAACCTTCTTGTGTGGCTTTGAATGGCTAATAAACAATTGGGTCTCCGGCCCTCTTATTGTAAGTTCAACATATTTTGAGACGGCCCGCATTGGACAAATACAGGGGTCACTAAAAGCATCAATAGTGACTAATCCCAAACCTTGGCCTATGCTGTTTGAACAGCTGTGCCGGAACAAACGTGAGACAATTACGAGACACTGTCAAGTCTCTAATATCAATATAAATCAACGAGGATACTCTCCCCAAATGTGACTAATGCTAACAATAAAACTGTCTTCAATGTTAACAATGGAAGTTCATCCCAATGCAACAGTGACCGTAAAAAAGACAGTACTGATCAACGTCCCAAGTGTGAAAATACCGAGGGCGTGGAGGATTCCGATTGAAAAAAACCCTTCATTAACTTACATATTTCGACCGCTTGCCCAACCGGCTGGTTTTTATAAGATTCATGGTATAATGATATGGCTGTCCTGTAGACTCCTAAAGTTCTATAAGACAACTTGTTCTTTTCGCACTGGACTAAAAATTCCATTATTGTAGCTACAGGTGCTGAAATCGGATTAAGTGCTCTCCTAGCACACCAGCAGCAACACCAAGCTTTCCATGCTGACTGATATTGTTGATGTGTGGATGGCCTGCAAATGTCCAGGAGGATTTCGGCAACGTCCTTCGAAAACCCCTCTGTTGCATATTGCTGCCGCAAAGCAACCATGCCGCTAAATGAAGAGACCTGCTCAACGGATGGGGTTGCCGCGAATGGGGCTGAATCAGAAGATCGCTGAACTGCGGCAGTAAAATCGGTTCTGCTATTGCCATTTCCAGCAACATGGGATACCACACCTGTGTTCCCCAAGCTATGACCAACGCCGTCGCTCCCTCCGCCAAAATCTTCCGCAGTACCTGGGTTAAGAGACAAAAGGGCGGAAATGCATATGCTCGTTCTGTCATTCAACTCACCGAGAACGCATCGATTGTTGTTGCTCCTGGGTCTGGCTTCCATGAGGCATACCGAGGAAGTTGATTGTTCAGTCTCGACGCAAACAGGTCGATTGTCGGAAGGAATCCGAACCGGTTGCAAACCTGATGAAAACCTGAGGGTGCAGCATCCACTCCAACCTGTCCACGAATATTCGGGACTGTGCGTCTGCTATACAATTCGTTGTCCCTGGTAAATGGTATGCTGTAAGTATGATCTGCCTCTGCATGCACCATTTCCATATTTCTGTGACCAAAGTTGACAGACCGGCCGCGCGGGTTCCCCCTTTGTGTTTGTGATAGGCTATCGCCGTTGTATTGTCCATGCGGAGCATAATGTGACACTCCTTCTTTGGAGCTGCAAACGATTGAAGGCCCTCAAAAGCTGCTAGCAGTTCGAGGTTATTGATATATTCTCTTTCGGCCAGCGACCAGCGGCCTCCTGTTTGCCCCACCCTACAGTGAGCACTCCATCCTTGCATCGATGCGTTCGATGTTATAGTCAGGAATGGCGGTGGTAAAACAATCGGCCTCCCGTTCCACTGGCGGAGGCACAACGCCCACCATTGTAGTTCCTCGATGCTTGTCTGCGAGAGACATACTATAGCTTGGTATGTTGGGTCCCTGTGAATTGCCTGAATCAGGTCTGCTTGCAGAGCGCGAAAGAAAACTGGAGCTGGTACTACATCTTCGGCCGTGGGATTCAATTTTCCAATAATGTTGGCCAGTGCCTCGGCTGATAGACAAGAGTCCTTGGCTGCCTGTGTGCATACACTTTCAAGATGCTGAATCTTCTTTTCCGGAAGACTTAACGTCATCTCTCGGGAATCTATTATGTGCCCTAAGTATCGTATGCGACGACTTGGGACCAGTTGAGATTTCTCCAAGTTCACCAACAAACCTAAGGTCTCCAAGAACCCTAGAACGCAATCTTTCTGGGCTAAACACTCGTCCTGAGTGCTGGCCACTAAAAATATATCGTCCAGATATATCATGACTTCCATTGTCCTTGTCGGAAATGAGCCATCACCGGCTTCATCAACTTTGTAAACAGACGTGGGGCCGACGTATGTCCAAATGGGAGGACTTGAAACTCGTATAGGCTCTCGCCCCATTGGAATCGCAGATACTTTCGATGGCTCTTGCAAATCGGCACCATGAAATATGCATCCTTCAAGTCTAGTGCCACCATGCAACTGTTGGGCTGCACTAGCTGCTTGAGCATGGTCAGAGATTCCATCTTGAAATGCTCTGAAACTACAAATTTGTTGAGCCTTTTGAGATTAAAGACAGGTCTGTACCCCCATGTTGCTTTCGGAACGACAAAAATTGTAGATAGGAACTGATGTGGACAACATTCCACTTGTTTGACCGCTCCATTTGCGAGCATGTTGTGAATTTCCTTTTGAATGATCGTTGTCTGTTCCCCGTTCAAGTAAAGTTGATTTGGTACTGTTACTTGCCATGGTTTGTGCATGAATTGTATATGGTAACCCTGTACTGTTTGGAGAATCCAAGGATCGTTTGTTAAACTTCTCCATTGTGGTAAAAAAATGTATTCTTCCTGCATAATTTCGAACATAAGAGGTTTGCAAACTCAAAGTTTCTTTTGTGTGTACTTCTATATCATTTTTTTTGTTATTTTTTTTCGGTGGGGAGGTGTTCTGACGTTGGCCTCTGTCAGAGCTACGAAAGGAACCTTGTTGACGAAAGGAACTGTTAGCGGTATTACCATATGCCTTCCGGTAAGAGCTACCCCTATTCGGTAGGACGACCTATCCTTAGGGTAAAGTCTTTTCTTTCCACTCTGACTCTTCTCTTTAGGTCCAAATTTCTGTTTATCATTTGAGGAAACCTTAACCATCTTTTGGGTTACCTTGTTTAGCTTATCATATTCGTCGACCTTCTGCACCCATTCGTCACCAAAAATACAACTCATGGAAGGGCTAACATCCCTCAAATACCATTCTCTCAAGAAGGGTTCCGACTGGCGCTGTCTAAAGACCGACACCCACTGAATGGCCGAACCTAATAGACTCCCTGCTGAAGACAGGAGTGACTTAACCTCGCTATCCTTTGAACCACTTACCTTTTCAAGGGCTTTAATTAAAGGGACCGATGTCCTCAGCATGTCCTCCTGAATCGACCAAATGGAATTATCATGGTTCCATGCCTCATACTTTCGTTTCTTCATCGTAGCCCGTATAGGCTTGGGTATGTCAGGAGCCTTGAAATAATGGTTCACCAACGAATCTGGCTTAATACTATCCAATAACTCCTCCTTACTCTGATCAGGAACATGGGTTCTTGTTGTTCCGACCATGACAGGACGCCTTTATGAAATGCCGTTCCCTTGGCCACCTTATGGGGGATTGACCAGTGCCACCGATACTGGGTCAGTTGGGACATCCTGCCCACCCAGCTCAATCTCGTGATCTAAAACTTCATCTGAATCTCGAATAGAAAGCACAGCCTCAGGTGCACTACTCAATGGTGATCGAGACCGGTGCCTGGAATGACCCCTACCACTACGTCCCGACGAGCTCTCATCTGAAGAGCTCTCGGACTGATAAAACCTCTGTCGAGATGTTCTGCTTTTAGACCTACGTACCCCGGCATTCCGATCGAGATGAAGCAGAACCAATATCCTTCATAGTTTCCTGCAGCAGTGTCTTAAAAAGGCCCATTTGCTGATGCTGCATTTCCTGCAGAATCGTCATCTGCTGAGGGGAAAACCCACTCTTATCATCAGATGGCCGAGGCTTAAACAGAGAACAAGAGGCTTTACCACCATGAGATCTCCCTTGTGTAGACCCTGAGGCCCAGGAGAACGATAATTGAAAGTAGATTTGTAATTCGTCGCCTGTGGTGGATGATCACGACCCAAAACTGAAGGCGTGCATCATCGCGCTCACGACTCATGCATTGAAGGCGTGAGCGGTCCTCACAATCATCGTGACCCAATAAATGGAGGTGCGACTTGGACCTGTCCGGCTGACAAGCACTATTACTAGGCCTAAATGCAACCTGACTTGCACTACCACTGCTATCGCGGCCTAACTCCGCGATATTAACTAACTTATCTACATTACCACCTACACTACTGTCACATGTCTCCATCGGAAGGCATTTCCAATGTAAAAATGAGAAAAGGAACAAACTTACTTTTCGATATCAAATAGATTACCTTGCGGATACCGCCATGCAGTTTTGAGAAGAGGTTGTAGGTCAGGGGTAATGAGCCGGAAGTGTTTCTTTAAAAACTGATATACCACCAAATCAGATGGGAAACGCCAATTGATTCGAGCCGAGAGAGGATGAAGTATAATCCCTTACACACACGATGCTTTACACAAACTAAATCTTCTAAATCTTAATACTGACAAATCATTGAGGTATTTGACTAACTAACCTGGTATCTGATACGCTTCTTGAACTTGTGGCGTGTCCGAAGATGTAGACCTAGATACCAAAGTCAAGTGTGTATCCAAATCCAATGATGTGTCTGGAATATCTATGCGTATATAAAGTATATGCATTTTACAAAAATGATAATTAAATGTACTGTTTTTAATAAGAAAATATTCCTTCTTCTATATATAATGGATTACACAAACAAGACATTTAATGACTGCCGTTAAACGTTAGGCCTGTAATTTATAGTAAATATAATGTGTATTTTGAGATCTAATTTTCTGTTATTACAGGGCATTGAGAACTAATGCATGTGCAAAAGGAGTCAAAATAGTCAGTTTTTTCCAATCGGATTCATATTCCCCACGAAGCAACAGTGTTGCTTAGTAAATTATGGTGTTTGTATAGACAACAGAAGGTAATTGTTAGAGCGATTTCTCTGACATCGCTAAAGATCTAGATTCTGGACAGCAGTATTCACACTACAGCTAAAACTGAAGCATTTGTTACATTGAAGGACCACAAAGCCAATTTGCTAACAACCCAACTTGCCGATTCAATAGCCCATCTAAATCCGAGATTGATGAAATCAGAAAGCAGATATTCGACAGAATCAATAGAAAAATCATTAACAACAAGAAATTAAATAAGTGGAAAACAACAATACCGTTTTAGAATGGTTTTATCGCATTATGGACAAACACCTATATTTGTTCATCGCTTTCGACGTGGTGACTTTTACCCGTCTATCTTTTTTTCCCTCTTTTTTGGGGATTTCACCAACTTTTATTTTATTTTATCGTTTTTTTCAATTGTTTTTATCTGGACAATGACCCCTTTCAAAATGCAGACACCGTGCCAAATTCCTACTCAAAAACACATAATACCTAATTTGCATCTACACCGACCCAACTCTACATATACACGTCAAATTTGAAATTCCCTTCACTCCTGAATATTGCCTAGTTCATGAAACAGCCTGTAGAGTGATGTTACAAGTTCTTAATTATTAGTATTGTTATTATTATTATTATTACATATATATATATATATATACATAATTATATAAACACAAACACACACCCCCACACACCCACATTGCACACACATACATATATACAGGCGCTTTACATACATACACATACATCATGACTGACTACTGTGATGCCATTAATATAATATTTAAATACCTATATTTATCATTTTCTTCATCATTTATTTTTTCATTATCAACAATTTGATGTACTGTACTAATTTATATATACGGTACCATAATAATTATATATATATGTATATATACATATTATATATATATGTATATATACATATATATATACATATACACACATACACAGATATATATATATATATATATATAATTATATATATACATATATATATATATATACATAATTGAAATTGAAATATATCAATAACAATAATTCATGAATTAACAAACAATAATCAATCAATCAGTTCATCAAACCACAGTCGGCTTGTGAATAAATAAAACCATTTGTTTCTACAGTACAGTCGTTTATAAAGTTGCATGTAATTTAAACACTTTACATTAACAATATTGCTTGAGTACCGTACTCTTACCTAATACTTTATTGATTATTGAGTGTGTATATCAATCCACCTTTGGCTATGTTTGTTATCTGAATGTATTCTAACTTCAATATCATATTGACTTTTCACATTTAAATTGAATTTTCAAAATAAGATCCATGGATCTGTTGTTACTGGGTATAACCAGTTTGTATATATAATATTAATTTTATTTTTTAATATAGATGCAACATTACTCCAATAGTTTCCTAGACTTTTGCACGTCATTAACATGTGTTCTTTGTCATCAATCATTGCACAATGTACACACAATGGTGAATCATCTAATTTCCATAGATATAACCTTTTCTTAGTTGGTAAAATTCTATGTACTTATTTGAAGTTAAATTCAGCTATCGTTGGAGTCTTTATCTCTTTAACTTGTTTTGTCCATATTGTTTCCCAATCAATGTTATTGCCTGTAACTATCTTATTCCATTTACCTTCACATTTTGGTTTTATTGATTTTCTTTGAACTAAATATTATTTACACTCTTTAGTGCTTTTTTTAATATTTATGTAATTGTTTGATTCCTCTATAGAAATACTGGGTTCAGCATGTGTCTCCTTACTGCTTACTTTATGTTTGACACTTTTCAATTTGTTTAGCCAACTTTTAGGAGCGGCTTTTAAATATTTTTGAATTTATTAATAAATCTCCTAATTTAATAATACCAGCGCTTATCCACTCTTTGAAGTATAGTAACTTATCGTTAATTTTAATATAAGGATTACCCCATATGATTTGTTCTTTTATATCCTTTGTAAAAGTTGGATACTTTGTTCTGCCGCCACCAACAGAGTACCATTACGACCTTGGTATGGAACTTTGGTAAATTTGTTAATACTGTAATTTTACATAGGTTTGGCATTTCAAAAGCACTCAAATTAGGACCAATTTTATTGATATACGTAAGTGGAATTTCTTTCCAATTGCCTTCTTCTTTACTTAACAATCGTTTTACCCATGATATAAGCAAAGCTGTGCAAATTGATTCAACCCGTCTATCTATATTAATCTGTTAAATGATGCATTAAACTTAGCATCTAGATATGACGAAATAACGACAAATAATACTACATGCAAAGAAATCATGCTTGTACTACTTTGGGAACCATGGGTCTAAAAAGCATCATCCAATTAATTTAAAGTCACAATGGGCAGTTGTGATGGGGCTAAATCCTGTACAGGGGTGGCGCCAGGATTTTTCTGACTGGGAGTCCAAGGTCAACGAAGGAGAGGGGGAGGGGGAGGAGAGGTGGCGACTTCCCTACGGCGCTTAAATGTTTCGAAAGTGGTACATGGGTTTTTTTTTCAATTCAAAAGAAACATTTATTTACTTCCTCATGCAATCTTAATAATATTATTTAGGTAAAATTATAATAAAAAATTTAATCAAGTTTTTTTTCATATACTAAAAATTAAAGATTAGGAAAAGGGAAGAGGGCAAATACTCGAAAAGATTGGAAACAAATCTTGTGTTGGGCCAACCTAAATAAATAAAAGAAAAACCATAGTGAACAAGGACAGAAAAGGGAAACGGAACAAAGCACATGGACAAAACACAACAGCAACAGCATAAAATACAAAAAAAAAATTAATAATAAATAAATAAATAAATAAATTAATAAGTAAATAAATAAATAAAAATATCTAATTAAGATCGGGAAGCCGAGAGGGGTTGCTTGAAATTAAGTAAGCAACATCTTTATCCATATACTTAGTCAATCTGAAACAAGCTCTGCACTGATATTGAGTCAAGTAAAGTCCGTATCCCTGGATACTCTTTATTACGCAAAGGAGGAAGTGTTGTAATTTATATTCACCAATCTATTATATTTAAACAAATAAAACAAGTTTATGGTATTGCTATTGAAGCAATCGGAATAATTTTGAAACCACCATCTTGAATTTCCACTATTATAACCACAATATTTAGACCACCGAACTCAAATGTGTCATTTTTTTGCTGATCTTGAAAAATATTTTGTCATTGCTATAAGGGACTTGATTATCGATAGTAACGTTCAGTCTACAAAGCACAATCTACCTAAAAAAATTTAATGGACATACTTTATCTAACTGGTACTGTTACTGGTACTGGCAATAGGTAATTACGGTTATGAATCGCAACCTGATCAAGAACTAGAACTAAGAAGTGCTAGAACTGCTAGCACTTCGGCACCAACCACTGACCTCATCTTAACAAATTGCAAACAAAACCACACCTGCAATTATGTTATCTCTTGTGGACTCAGCGATCACAAATTAATGTACACTTGCACAAATTTAAACATTTCACCGATACTTTCTGATTTTTCAAGAATTTTAAGAATTATATAAATTTTTAAAGATAATATAGAACACCAAGATTGGTCTGATCTTTATAATTCAAACAATAACGACAAAGGTTTGACCATTTGGACTAATATCTTTAACAATATTTGTGATAACCACGCACCATACGTAACAAGGAGATTTAAATGCAATTTGCATAAATGGTTATTAAAGAGATACTATATTTCTGATCTTTTCTTCAAATAGACAAATTAAAGAAAAAAGCCAAAAAAAATTTAAAAAAATAAAATAACAAAAAAAAAAAAAAAAAAAAACCGCGAACACTAAGGACTGATACATACCTCAAATTAAGAAATAAAGTAACTTATATTTGTAGAAATGCTACAACTGATTCCTGTAAGTCCAATGCAACTAACAACGAAGGTAATACTAAAAAGATAAGAAAGGGTCCTAAAGATCATCTTCCTTCTAATTATCCAATATTTCACCACCTTCATTCTCTATTAATGATACTGCCATTTCTTATCATAAAACTATTGCTAACTCCTTCAACACATTCTTTGTGAATGTAGCTTCTCAGGTAAACTTATATTCGTATGATTATGATCAACTGTCATATCTCACTCCTTATCCCCATGATTTTGTTTTTGAAAATATGATTTTGTATTTAAAGAGCTTGTTGCTTTAAATCCCCACAATTCTTATGGTTTAGATAACATTAATGGAAGCTCCTGAAACTTGCAGCTTTCTTGATATTACTCTTATCAATAAACCTTCAATTGACTCTGTTACCTCTCATGAGTCTTGAGGAGTTATCATAAACAAAACCTTAACATAGAATTCACACACTTCTACTCCATGTTTAAAAAATTAAACTCTACACTCTTTCTTCTTGCACGCACCTCTAAGTTTGTTAACCAATCTACTCTCTTTCTACTTTATAATGCTTTATTTCATTCCTGCTTTGATTATTGCTGCTCAGTCTTGAGTTCAAATTATACAATCTTTCTTTCCAGTAATTTTTAAAAACAGGGCTATACGTATAATCCTTAAACGTCCTTCTCTATCACCCACCAGACCATTATTATATTAACTTGACCGTACCCTTCCTTTACATGAAAGGATTGACCACCAATTAGGTTGCCTTACCTACAGCTCAGTCAATTATCTCGCTCCACAAAATATACACCATAACTTCACCAAAATCAGAGCTTATAAGAGAATAACTCGCCAAATAAGTAAAGGAAACCTTCTTGTTCCTATACCCACACTTGAAATCTTCAAACTATTCTTCATTAACAAAGAGTTAATTTTTTTAAGCTAAATTTTACTATATTTTCTTAATGAGAAGAATTCAATTTATGCATATATTTTATTTCTTATTTTAACCTAATTGTATTGGCTTTTGCCATAATCTGCATTATTATATTTTTAAAATATTTATTTTACGTATTAATGTTTTTATTAATGTTTATTATTATATACTTTAATTCTGATTTAAGGTTGTAGTACATGTTTTGTTACATGTTGATGGTCCCAAATGCTCAGCTTCTGCTGGATGTATCATTCTCATTAAATATGGTTCAAATAATTATTTAAAAAAAATGTTAGTAGTGTTTATTAAATAGATTTGTATTGTTTCGTCGTTTAGTGTTTGACTATTTAACTGCAAAATACATTATCCACAATAGCGTAGACGTAATGAATGAACGACCAAGTACTTTTTATTCTGTGTAACTTTTGTTTGTGCCCTATTATGGGCCCGGTAGACACACCCCCTTTAATTACAATGTTTTGAATACAAAATTTGAATGGAGATTGTGTAAATTTATGGAGTAGGCATTGGCTGTATTTATTAAAGTATGGTACATTACATATACATCAGAACTAAAAGGCAACGATATCAGTAACAAATACCTGTTTGTAGTGCCTTCAAAGCGTGGAGGAGGTTATTTGTAATCAATAATTTATAGAAACCGTCCATATGGTTTTCCTTAATTATTTGTTGGTCTTCTAGATCACTGATCATAATCCATCCGTCTACATATTGCTTATGAGGCGTGTTGTATATTCCATTAATCAACGTCACATCCCTTGGTGTCAATGCCATCCCAAATTCCATCAGTCGTTGTCTGTAAGGTGTAAACGTTTTTGAAATAGTTCCTTTATTAACATCCGGGAATGACAGGAAAGTGCTTTTGATTATATCTTGAAGGGCATAGTTTTTAGTTAGGGCAATGGTTTCGGCTAGGATAGTCAAATCACTTGGAGACAGATAAGAAGACTTAACCAAGTCATTTATCAAGTCCATCGTGTTAGTTAGTTTTGTCAGTTTTCCAAGTTTGACATGATCTCTGTACAACACTTTCAGCATAGAAAGATATTTGTTTTCGTCATACCATCTTGCGACAACCATTTTTAAAACATTAAATCTCACACCTATAAAATTTTAAAAAAAGCATATTTTATTAGCATAAATGTAAATTCCTGAAAGGTTATCATTACTCAACTTTAGTATATTAAAGACTAGTGAAAGCGATTTTACATACTTTTAAAAGGTACTTTCCATAATATCATAGTAAATAATAGTCCAGTTGATAACCTGCTGGAAAGAGTATTTTCTAAATTCTGAATAGTGAATCGAATCATTGTGCACTATGAGTAATGAAAGCTTACCGTATCAGCCAATAATGAGTTATACGGTAACATTTATGTTTCATTTTATTTTATTTCCCACAACGCAAAAATACGTTATAAAATTCTTCAGAAACGTAAATAAATAAGAAGTACAATGTAATCAAATTAATTAATATTAGTAAATTACTAAATTACAGTAAAAATGTAATATAATGTAGGTATACGCAGACGTGAAGATTGAAAGTTGAAAATGGCATTATAATGTACATGGGAAAAATATATTATATCATTTATGTATTTATGTATGTATGCATCTTTTAGTGTGAAAATGGTGGTTCGTTCGGGTTCAGGTGGTAAAGGTTAACTTTCGGACTTCTCCGACAAAAGTAGGGATAAAACAGGAAGTTCATTATTTTTTTCCCATACAGTATGTAGAAATAACAGAAAGCGCTATTTCAGGTCAGTTAGGTGAACTGATACACATGAAATATGCATATCATACCTCCCCCTCGCGGAACAGAATTTAGTGGATTCGTGTATCGAGTAAGCTGCAGTGTTTATGCATGGATGAAAGAGCGATATAGAATAGGCCAAAATTTCTTAAGGCTTTGATAGTCAAGACAGTGTGAACATTAACTGGACTACTTGCAATAATATCCCTGACTACACACAGCATGGTCTTTCAAAGTATAAAAAATGCACAGTAATATTGAATCTGGCTATTTGAGTGGGCCATAGTAATAGTATCCTAGATATGACATGTATTGTAGCAATAATATGCCCCCTAATAGCAGCGTTGCCCAATAGTCTGAAAGATATAATCGTGATGAAATGCTCGGAGACAATTACCAGTACTTGGGACACAGATATGCTAATAACCTACAACTTTACAAAACATTTTCATGAGAAAAGAAAAACATTGTCAATTAACAGGCAGTAAGCGTATTTGCTGTATTCTTTTACATGATTCATTGGCTGGTAACATTTAAGGATTTTTTTTGTTAGAACCGTCTGTAAAACTGTGAAAGCCTTCCATCTGATTTTGATCGTTTTAAATAAGCTATTCAGTTTTTAAATTTGGTAGCCTTTAATAAACGGTAGGCCCTACGTCATATTATGTGTACAACAGAATATCGTCGGATTTCGTAAAATAATGTTTAAAATATATCTGCTTATATATACTTTTGCCATGTTACTTTTATTCATATTGAATGAATGACATGATATGTTTGTGAGAAATCAAAAAGAGATTTTGGCCTACTTTTCTAATTACTATACGCCTTAGTTTTTATATTGCACAAGCAGCGAGCACTGCTTTTGCGACTCTCGAGGGGGAAGTCAAATATTATTTGTCAGTTCACTATGACCTTAAATATTGCCCTCTATAATTTCTGCCTTAGTTGTAAGGGGAAAAATAATGCAAACAGGAGGGGTAAAAATAAACTGATGGAAAGGTACACCACCGTGGTCTAGGACGTGAAAAGTGACCGGGATCCAGACAACTAGACATCTCTATTTTAAAAAATTTGAAAGCATAATTATTGACTACAAGTTAATGAAATCTTTAAAAATCATACTTGCATTAATTATATTAGACATATTAAGATTTATATGATAAAAATGTTTAATAAAGATTTAACATTAAATAATAAATGAAAATTACATTATTTTTAATAATAATAACAAGGAGTAGGAAACTGCAAGAGGTCCTACTCTTCTGGTTTCGTTGGAACGTAATCCTATTAAAAAGTGTTTCTTGAGAATAATAATAATAATAAATAATAATGATAATAATAATAATAATAATAATAATAATAATAATAATAATAATAATAATAATAATAATAATAAATTGGACAGGCATATTCTAAAATAGGGCGACATAAATTACATATTTGATGAAATATTAGAGCGATCAGTAGTGCGTTTATTGAAGCCAGTGGTTTTAGGAGTTTGGAACACAAAATTAATATGTGAATATCATTTAAAGGTCTGATTGAAATATAACACCAATATTTTTGTGATTGTTAGCGAAAGTATAATTTAGAACAAAAAATATTGTAAGTGAAATGAAACGGAATCGATCGGCGAAATAGTTAAAAGAACAATAACCATATGATATGTTCACATTTGTATTGATATTATTACAATAATAACAGTTATACAGTAATATTGTAAAAAATTGTACTGTATATGCAAAATACGATAAGCAATAAGAAGGAATAAAATAATAATTAAAAAAAAATTGAAAATCATTATATTGAATTATCTAGGGTATTGTTGTTTCGAGGGTATTAGAACAAAATGAATTAAATTTTCACAGAATGCATAGTTCAATTAATACTTGGGGCTCATCATTCTCTGTCCAAATTTTATGTTCTTTTCTTTTTTAAAGATGTATTTTAGTAGAGTTCTGTATTATCGAATATTTTAATATTAAATACAAACAAAATATATAAAAATCAGTTTTCGTTTTGTTTACCATCCATTTTATTTGTGTATTTCTTCAAAGATCATGTATCGTAACCCTAAAAAAAAAGAAAAAAAAATTATACTTCGAAATTAGTAATGATATGATGACAACGACGACGACAACAACATCAACAACAACCACAACAACAGCAACAGCAGCAGCAGCAGGCTAATTATTATTATTATTATTATTATTATTATTATTATTATTATTATTATTTTATTGTTTTAAGGTTTGCATGGCGAAGAAATAATGTTCATTAATGTACTTGTTTTGGTTAGTGAAACTTTCTTGATCTTTTCAGTAAGACCAAACACGAAGGGATCACCACATAACTTACGATGTACAATGGAGAAAAATAAGACACAAAATACGAGATTAGGAACATGTTTCCGCTTAGCGTTCGATCAAACCTAAATGAATGCCCCTCTTTTATTTTTCTTTAAGAATAATATTTAATAATACAAATGGCCAAAATAGGGGATTTTTACATTCTGCAGCACTTTACAAGCGCCTACTTTCGATCTGTTATTGACGAATAACTAGTATTGAAAAAAAACCAATAATATTAATAATAATAATAATAATTTGCAATTTGTATAGCGCCTCCAGTTGGACCAACCTTGAGGTGCTTGACAACAACGGAAGGAAACGGACAAGAAAAAAAAACCATGAACCATGACCAACAGCACTCTAGACGCCTAACCGAACCCAACCAACACCGCACCGTTTATCGGCAATTTAAGGCGTGAAGCCCGCC